AGCAAAGAAAAGAAGGGTTAAGTGTTTACAGTTTTGCCTATAATAGCTAACATATCACTACAAATGGGCTTCAATAGGGCTTTTTTGTGATGAGAAAATCATCCAAGGATTTGTCCCGCCCATGGTCGGGAGGAAGAGAGTGTCAGACTCTTACTGATTAAAATCCCCTAGTTCTTCGTCCTGCCATAGGTCGAGGTCGCGGTAGCTATAACTGCGGTAGCTGCTTGCCCCGCAACCCCGGCTAATAGGGCTGATGCTCAACCAGGATTATGGGTCAAGCTCAATAATGTAACGCGGTCTGGGCCTAGAGCAAAAAAAGTAACAGTGGTTTTTTGTTAGTAAAAGTCTGACACTAGGCAAAAGAAATAATTTGATGAATTCCCCACTTCAAAAAAAAAATGTCTGCAATCTTTAAGGAACCAAAAGTGGAGGCTCAAGCTAGTTCATGAAATACATTGAAATCGTACTTCTCTAGTTCAATCCAAATCCATTTCAATTCCTTTTTTATTGAGACCTGCGACCTTAACGAGTTAAAATCAATTAAACACCTTGTGCTTTGCCTTCACAAAACTTGGTATTTTTCTCAAAGCAGGATTTTAGGCCGGCTAATGGTTTGTTACTCCTGTACCATATCAGATCGCTGTTTTAGGGTGTGGCCGATTGTCAACCAACAGACGAGGGTCAGCTGGTCTGAATGTAATGATGTGATGACTTCTACCGCTCTGTTGGCAGTGGGAAGTGTAAGACAGTGTGTCAGATTCTTACTGACTAAAAATCATCCGGTTTCTTCTCCTGCTGCGAACTGGAGCGCGGTACATAATCGTATGGCAAATCCGGAAACATGTAGTTTTATGTCCAAACACCATGAAAAGAACGATTGTCTTTAAGTAGTTTTTAGAACTACAAAAGCAATACCTATTAGTAAGTAATTTACTCCTTACTGGTTTATGAGTAACAGACAGATATGAGCATAAATAATCGCCATATCGACGGATAGTACGTCAGTAACTATATTGTTACTTGCGAAATACGTTACTACCGTGTTAATTACTTTAGAAAATACGTCGTAAATGTAATTATGACACGTGTTTGTTGTAAACAATGTATCGTTGTTGCTATTAATAATAAGTTTTACCTTGGGGAGAACCGGGTTGATCGTCTCAGCGGTCTTTTGTGACAATTGGTCTATTTGATCGGTGACGAAAAAACGCTGATGGTTAACTTAACCCAATGTTTAAAGTGCGGGAGAGCCACGCTTAGGCACAAATGAGCCGGCTCGACCGATGTGTACCATAGCCTCACAGAAAACCGACCTAAAGTAACCCCAATGTGTTTTGCTGTGTAGGTGAGGTTATCGAAGGCCCAATCGCTCACTTCACCTCATCCCTGCCCGATTCCTAAATCCGTAAAACCCATATCTCCAAAAAATCTCTGGTGTTCCAAATCCCTTTTTATTCTATGTGAAATGTTTGTATTTAGTTCTTTAAGGTATCTCTTATGATCTCAGTGACAAATGCGTTTCTTTCTACAATTATGACCACAAAGTGTGTGTATATATGGCAATTCTTTATCATAATAAATTACACAACTATGTATGTAGAGTTATCTTTTTTATCTGCAACATCATACTAGTTCTTCCCCGATTTTATAACCAGATCGCGTAGGACGATAAAAAGGTGAATTGTTTTTTCTAAACAAAAATGCCTTTCTCTATGAAATTCTCCTGTGTCTTGGGTGCAAACAGACAAGTTCCAGAGAACAACTACCTGTAATTCAAAGAAAGAGTTCTACGACACGTTGCCCAGCCACTGCGCCAACCGGACTTCCATCTTCTAATTTACTTGAATTATGATGTGATGAACGCACTAACATTTTGAAATAAATCCGTATTGCCTTATAAGTCCATTAATGTTATCCAGATCAGATATTATTCACGTTTCCAAAAAAACTCCAATATGTTGAATGTTGAGTCAAATCCCAACACTTGAAATAACAAACACAATCCATCCAATCTTCCTGTTAGTTTAAATGACGGTCATCACAAAAACGGATACAGGTTCCGAAATAAAAAAAAACGAACAAAAAAGAAATACGATGACTGATTAAAAATTCCAGTGAAAATATAACATCGATAGAATGAAAATATTTTCAAAGTGATTATGTTATCGATAAATACATGTAAGTTTATCGAATTATTCATCTGACAAATATTTTAGCTACACTCGTTCGGCGCCACTGATACGGAGATAATGACGGTTATCAACAGACATATCCTGTGACGTTTGATTGGAGGCGTGAAGTGTGACGTCATACCACAGATTATAACACTAGAGTTGGACTTTGATTTTGTCAGTGACGTAATTGATTGATTGACTAAATGTGTGATTCAATTCTTGCGACTTTTTTATGGCGACAAGAAAAACTTAGTCTGTTTAAATCATAGCGATTACATAGCTTTAATGGCAAGTAAATGTATTTCATGAAGGGAAGGTTTGTGGGAGGGGATTAAACGTCCCCCCTAATACTTTGCACATGCGCCCTTGTAAGGTCTGGCGCCATTTTTGCTATTTCGCCTATCATGCCTTTGTTTGGCTCCTCCCTCATATTATGTACCGTTAATATTACAGAAACATCAACGTAGGTGTTAAATCCAGTGTGTATTACTTCTAATGTAAAAAAAACTCAATCTAACAAGATTATGTTTGTGACATAAACTCTGCTCTAATATACTTTGGCCTTCTCCTTTTCAGTCCGTAATCTAATTTTCTTTAGTCTGTTTTTTATTAATAAATGTTGTATTTTTCCGTATAGGTGCGCGATGCCGTCGCGACGGTGGTAGAGCACCGGAGGGCGGCCGGATGCGGCCCGCGCGTGCCCGTCCGCCCGCCGCCTCCGTCACTTAGCGCCGCCCGCGCTCTCGCCACGCTGCTACTATGCGCATGGCAAGCGCCCTGCCCACTCTGCTCGCGGTAAGCTACATCTCACACTCCACTTCCAACCCTTTTGATAGAATCTGACGGTAAATCAGGAGGCCAGTGACATGACAGTAAGCAATCGTCACTGCAATGGACAACCGCAACACCAAATTATAGTAAGGTAGGCCATTCAAGAAGTCCTATTGTTCTTAACTAGTATATTTCCGACTGCAAAGCCCTGAATACGGTTGTTTACTGGATACGTTTCAGAGAGTATGCAAAAATGATTCCCCTGCTAGTCTCTTCTACCACAGTAATACCAGATTATCGGCAAAACATCATCACTTCACAGTTTTTTCATCATTAAGTACATAAGGAGCGGAATTATTTATTGGAATATTGGGTCCCAGTAGAGTATTGGTAATATGGGTGTCTTCAAGGCCCGAGTGAAAAGGCTACTTATAGTCAGGCGTGCTCCAGCGCTTACCACCAGGCGAGATAATAGCCAAACATTGCAAATAAAAAGAGGATATAATAAAAAGGTTTGCAATCACACATGTAATAGAAAAATATTAGATAATACGTAAATGACCAAGTACCTATCTACTTATTTAGGCAAATGTGAATTGTTCATATGGTGATAAGGTTGACACTAGGTAACTACAATAATCCCGTTATATGTTTTAGATACACATTTCAGTAATCAATCGTGCCTACTAGCTAAAATACGACAATTTGTTTTTCTATGGAATGATCGGCAAACGTGCAGACTGGTTTCCTGATGGTAAGCAATCAGCGCCGCTCTAAAGACGTTACTACAAGACGTAACGCGTTGTATGCGTTATATGGGTTATGGGGGATTTACCGCTTAAAATCGCAAACCTGCATTGACCAAGCGTGGATTTTAATGCTCTAACCTTCTCCGTATGAGAAGAGGCCTTTGCTCAGCAGTGGGCACTTATAGGCTGATGATGATAGCTTGAAGAGAGGGGATTTGGAGATTGAGGATGGGGGGGGGGGAATCTCACACACATAGAATACTCGAAATACAACGTTAGTCTCATGTAATCCACCTGCTAAGCCATAAAAAAATAAACGACTTAAGTCATCGTAAATCGTAATACCTACTAAAGATAGTCGAGTACCAACATCGACTAATAGAATTAGTGATGTGTATCAATGTGTTAGTAAATTAGTGTTTAATAGGTCAGCCCATGAGTCTGGTATCAAGTGTCTGGCACCAGTGGCGACAGTCTAGCTGGTGTTAATGTACCATTGTCTGCAACGAATTTATGTGATGATAATACACGCCACCGATCGCGTGATTTTAGTCTTTAAAAAATGTAGGTTTTTGTTTAACACGTACTTAGGTAGGCAAAAGGTAGTAAATTTAAAAAAAAATGAGAATCTTTTTCGGATGATTTTTATTATTAAGAAATTTATACCTACTAGGTAGGTGTATACCTAATTGTAATAAATTAAATTATACCTAACCTAAATCTAGAAATTAACTAACAGAAAAAGGTATGCCTTGATTTATTTTAAAAGCGATCAAATTTTTTTTGGGAAATCTGAAAAAATCTAAATAATGATTTTTGTCCATCCATGTGTTTAAGATAATATTTTTTCTTAAGAGTTTCGTTTGAGATTCCCTAACATTTATTTAAATAGAATAGACTTTAAATTATAACTTAAAATGAAAAACCTTTGACACTATAAGAAGTTGCAAAAAAAAATGCAATTACATTGAAATAATACACATAATTCACAGCTATAACTGTGGAATAAATACACATGACATAGGTACTCGTACCATCCACATTTCACAGGTTTTACCCTGGCCTTGCAATTTCCATGTACCGCCAAAATCGTGTCTGGCATGATAACGCATGTAACCCATACTACATGTCGCAATTATTTGGTTAACATCATCAACCAAAGTAGGCTTATCTACAACTATCGAGCATTTCATTAGTTCACAAATGTATTTATTACTAAACGCGATGATGAGCGAAAACTCGATGGAATTCCAATAAAGCGGTTCAGTCTAATCGGATGCTTTATTTTGTGGCCGAGGCGAAACCCGTGCAGTATGAAGCACGTCGCGGACAACACTAGTCGCTCAGCACCCGCACGACGCGCGCCGGCCATGGAACCGACACGAAAATATAAAAAATAAATTCAAAATAAATTTTAGTGATGTGCATATATTTTTTTATAAAGTTAAAAACTGTGATGAAAGTTTTCAAATGAACGTAGTGCAGTAGTGTTTTATGTATGATTTATTCAATACATTGGACAAATTTATTTTTGCTCATGGCAATTAAAATGGTAAGTTATTTTTAAATATTTTAATATTTCTGTTTTGTTTAAAATTTTACAATGAATCATATTTTTTAATTACTGAGCGGCGCAGAATTTAAATAGTTTTCCTAATCTCTGAATTAATTGTTTTTGTAATTAAATACTTATTACGGACGCGGTGTGACAAACGTTATTTCGGAAAGTAGGTCAAAGACCTGGGAGTTAAAATGACTAATTGATAAAGAGAATTTTAATTTTTTTTTTTTGAATATTTATAAAACACAAGATTCAATGGATCTTATTATCATTAAATATATTTATTAAATGATGAGCAATAAAATTCGCATACAATTTCCTATTTGCAGTACGATATTAATTAATAGGTACGCAATAAAATAGTTTACTTCAACAATTCAATTATCATAAAGATTATAATTGAATATTTACGAACTAACCAGCATTACTGAAACGTAATAAAAACTTTTTTTTAAAAACTACATAGGAACTACTTAATAAAAAAAAAAATGGAATAAGTTATAAAAGCATCGGTCGGTAGCCAATGAAAATTTTATGTGTGAACATTTCAATCGACTATAAAAATGCATTCAAAATCTAGAGCTCATTTAACACAAACATCAGACGATTTCCTTCATTGACCGTTTATAGCGCGGAAGTTTAAAAAAACTGCTTTTAGAAAAACATCTAATTCTGTGAATGGATTTTTTAAGAAACGTGCGTACCTACTCCAAACATCAGAAAATTATAGTACGTACAAATTTATCAGTATAAAGCTAATAATACAACAAAAGGCAATAAAGTGACGTATTTACAAGTAAATATTCACGTTACAATATAAACTATGTTACAAAGCTTACGCCAAGAAAATTAATATGAAAAACGCCATTTACTATCGATAAATTCTATTTCATACATTAACTGTTGGCCGCATGTATGAAAGGTCAATGCATCTAAACTCATTGTTGCGGTCATGGAAGAAACGCGATAACTTTAAACGTGGTTCTCATTAAAGAAAACGATAAATAAATCGACTAAAACCCTTTATTGTAATAGTAACATTGGGACATCACTATTTAATTTTGCAGTAGACAACGATGAAGCATTCATTCGCATTCGTAATTCGAATTATTTGAATTCTCTTTTTGAATTTTGAATCACTGGCATGGAAACTATCAATTTATTACAACATCATGCCTATTACTCCAAGAAGGGTAAACAGATATACCTGATATTTGAACGAAAAGGATGTACTAATTAATGTTAACAGTAGAATAGCTAGTATTAAGTCTAGCTTCTAAATAGCTGTTAACGTAATAGGAAATGAAACAATGAAACAATGAAACAATGAATTTATTTTTGCAAATAGGCCTTAAAACGGCACTTTTACACGTCAAATTATATGTGAAAAACTAGATGAAGCCGGCATTTCCTATCTGACTACTCTGAGAAGAAATGCCGAAACAAACTCAGAGGTCAGTCTCTTTTCAAGTCCAGACAATATAAAATAACATAATGTGAGAGAACCGTGCAAGTTCATTCTGTAGTGGTCTTTTGAGGAAAGAACCACACCAGTTTAAGTGGACCCGTTCTGAAGACAGGCACGCAAGTGTCAGTTTGCAACCATATAGCTAGTGCTGTTGAGTTGTCCGACGAACAATACCGATCAAAAGAACATTTGGGTGGGTCGCGCAAGTACTCAAACTGTCAGAACGCAGATGACTGGTGATAAAAAAGCACGACAAATCTCACACGGTCCTTACACTAACAATAAATATAAAATAATAAAAATGTCAACAAATAAATAAAAAAAAAATGTCAAATAAAAAATAGAAATGTCACAATAGGTGATCATGTCATTGTATAAAAAAATAAAATAAACGTAATGTCAAATTGTATATAAAAGTGTAACTTATGTTACAAACATGTCAACATGACCTGTGCAGACATTACAGCGGCTCATTCCCAAGCCTGACTATCCTCTAAGTAGTCTTTTATTTTATAAAATGCTTTACAGCAAAGTTTAGCCTTTATTACACTTTTAAATTTATTGAGGCTCAAATTTTGAATATCGCTAGGAATTTTATTGTAAAAGCGTATACATTGACACCTAAACGAACTACTTATTTTCTGAAGCCTGGAGGCAGGCACAACATATTTGTTTTTCCCCCTCGTGTTGATATTATGTATATCACTATATTTCTTAAATAAGCTTTTGTTTTTATGAGCGTGAATTACATTTTCATAAATATATTGAGAGGCAACTGTCATTATTTTAGATTCCTTAAATAATTCTCTGAGCGAATGCCTCGGACTAAGATTATAGATTGATCGAATAGCCCTTTTCTGCAGAACAAAAATAGACTGGATGTCAGCAGCATTCCCCCACAACAAAATACCGTATGACATGATGCTGTGGAAATAACCAAAATAAACTAACCGCGCTGTATCTATATCTGTTAAATTTCTAATTTTTTTAACGGCATATGCTGCAGAACTGAGCTTCTTCGACAAGCCATCTATATGTGGGCCCCACTGGAGCTTAGCGTCCAGGGTTATACCTAAAAAGACAGTTGTATCTACAGGACTCAACTCCTCGCCCTTGACAAGCACACTGGTTTTTATCTGTTTAACATTTGGTGTTGTGAATTTAATACATTTAGTTTTAGTTTCGTTTAGTAATAAGTTATTCACACCAAACCAGTGAACTATTTCTGAGAGAGCACTGTTTACATTGTCAATTAATGATTGTCGTCGTCTGAGTTTGAATAATAGTGAGGTATCATCAGCAAACAGCACTATCTCGTGTTTATCCCTTACAAGGTAAGGCAAGTCATTAATATAGATAAGAAATAAAAACGGGCCGAGAATAGAACCCTGCGGAACACCCATCTTCACAACAGACCCGGCAGAAACCATTCCGTTTACTTCGACTCTCTGAACCCTATTACTCAGGTATGAGGTAAGAAGGTCCAGAGATGCACCTCTAATTCCGTAATGGGAAAGCTTCCTGATCAGTGTATCATGAAGCACGCAATCGAACGCCTTGGATAAATCACAAAATATTCCCAAAGCGTCGCTTGAGTCCTCCCATGCGTCGTAAATATGATTAAGAAGTTCAACACCGGCATCAGTTGTTGAACGACCCCTTGTAAATCCGAACTGCTTCGCATGTAATAATTTATTTCTATTAAAAAATCTTTGCATTTGATCTAAAATGATTTTTTCAAAAATTTTACTGAACGTAGGTAGTACTGAAATAGGTCTAAAGTTAGTGGGGTCAGAAGTACTACCTGATTTAAATAATGGAATTATTTTACTACATTTCATAAGATCAGGAAACACACCACAGTCAATACAGTTATTAAAGATTTGAGCCAATACAGGTGCTACAATAGTTATTACAGAGCTTGTAATGTACACAGAATTACCCCATAGATCTGCAGTCTTTTTGTTATTCAAAGTATTAAAGATTTTAACAATGTCTTTGTTATCTATGTGTTTGAAGGAAAACCCTGAATCGCAAGCTACAACATGTTCTTTGAGTAAAGACTCTGCAACAGTGGGAGATGAATTCAGTGACTTTGTAGTGGATACAGGAATGTCGGAAAAGAAATGTTCAAAAGCAGTTGCAATTTCTACATCCGCTTTTATTAACTTATTATCAATTACTAGACTATGTTGACTAATTCTTTTTTTAGACCTTCCTGCCTCACTGTTGATAATGTTCCAAGTGTCTTTGATAACATTGGTACTGTTCTTTATCTTAGAGCTTAAGAATAGAGATTTTGCAATAGAGCAAACTTTTTTAAATAATTTAGAATAGTTTTTTACATATTCACTGAATTCAATAGTATTAATATATGTCCGCTCATTATAGAGCTCATAGAGGCGATTTCTACTCTTATAGATACCAGTGGTTGCCCAATCACCAAAAGACACATTGCTATTAGCTGGAATAGTTTTATCTGTAAAAGTAGACTTAAACTCTGTTAGGTACATTTTAAAAAACTTATCATACAAAGTGTTAGAATTCTTATAATTCAACAACAAAGGCAATTTGTTGCTGAGTTTAGCTTTGAAAAATTCAATGCGTCTTTTAGTCTTCGGATTAACTGTGATAAATTGTTTTGACACTATATTTATTTCATTTGTTAAAGAAATTAACTGACCACAATGATCGGAATCAAGTACTGAAATTATTTCTTTGTTAACTGGCACAATGTCGGTATAAATATTGTCCAGGCAAGTGGCACTAGTGGGTGTTATCCTAGTTGGCTCCAGAAACAAATTCGCAAGGTTGTATGAAGAAAATAAACTTACAATTTTTGTGCTTAAACTACATTTTTCTAATAAATTTATATTAAAATCACCACATGTAATGATGGATTTCTTTGAATTTGTAAGTTTACTTAATACTTCATCCATTACTGTTTCAAAACAGTCATACAAACCTGAAGGTGGTCTATACACGCTTAATACAATAAACCGCTCCAATTCCACACAGGCTATTTCAACAGTACGCTCAACAGAGTAACTAACTATATCTTTGCGATCTTTGAATTTAAGCTGATTACTTATCAGTATAAGTGAGCCACCATGTATAGCGTTTACTCTGCTGAACGAGCTACCAATCTGGTGCTTACCAAAATTGAACATGAGCTGATGAGGTTTTAGCCAATGTTCAGTTATACACAAAATATCCACATTATTACAATTTAAAAATAACTCAATTTCTAATTCTTTGCTCATAAAGCCTTGAATATTTTGGTGAACCAGATTAATAACCTTATTACTGTTTAATTTGCAAGAGGTTGTCTCTATTGTCTTATTTAATAATTTAAATTATTATGAATGTCAGTATTAGGTGAATTATTATGAATGTCAATATTTTTTGGTTGCTCAATAGGAGTAACCTGTTTAGCCAAGTTATTGGCTGATATATTAAAAAAATATGATAGCGATATTGCTATTTGTCTTAAATAATATTTTGAAAGATAGTACCTATCTTT